GCCGCTCTCAGTGTTTTCCTTTTTTGGAAAGTTCTTAAAAATAAAATACATGTTATTTGCATTAACATGTACTGTACTTACTGCTTTTTAAAACGAATTAACATATTTTTATTTTGTTTACTTTTTAAAATACGTTTTATTGATTTTTTACATAGAGGAAGGGAGAGGGATAGAGTTAGAAACGTCGATCCGCTGCCTCTTGCACACCCCCTACTGCGGATGTGCCCACAACCAAGGTACATGCCCTTGACCAGAATCGAACTTGCAACCTTTCAGTCCACAGGCTGACGCTCTATCTACTGAGCAAAACCGGTTTTGGCAATATATATATATATATATATATATATATATATATATATATATATATATATTTTTTTTTTTTTTTTAATATTTTATTGATTTTTTTACAGAGAGGAAGAGAGAGTGATAGAGAGTTAGGAACATCAATGAGAGAGAATCATCGTTTAGCTGCCTCCTGCACACCCCCCACTGGGGATGTGCCAGCAACCAAAGTACATACCCTTGACTGGAATTGAACCTGAGACCTTTCAGTCCGCAGGCTGATGCTCCATCCACTGAGCCAAACCGGTTTCGGCAGAAATACATATTTTTAAAGGTCATGGGGGTCTTTAATTTCTGATAGAGTAAAAACAGAGTTGCAACCCAGATAGACAAAGCTTATTGGGGTCCTTAATGATTTTTAAGGGAGCAGATGGGTCTTTGGGATTTCTGTCACATGACACATCAGGCAGGGGTGCGTTTTGGGTAATGGCACCATCCCAAGGTAGCAAAGGCTGGTTTTTGGTGTGTGTTTTTTTGTGGGGTTTTTTTTTTTTTTTTTTGGTGTGTGTGTGTGTGTGTGTGTGTGTGTTATTTTTTAAGATCTGGAAATTTTTTTCCCCATTAAGTTTTCCACATTTTAGTCAAGAATGTAAGTGGGTTGATGAGTTTTTCATCTGTTTTGAATTTCCTCTAAGCTTCTGTCTAAAGAGTTCACGCTGTGGCGCCCACGTGACAGCAGCGGGGTGAGGCGTCGCCGGGGGTGAGCCAGCGCTGTGAGCCGGTGCTGCGGGAGGTTCTTATTGTGCGGACCCTGTTCTCGGAGCAGGTGCTTCCTTACCGCTTGCAGCGTGGTCTGGGGTACAGATCACTTGATCAAAAACACATGGTTGGTTTGAGGCCAGTCATTTTTAAGGTGAACGCAATTCAAATGCAGATTTTTTTTTTTTTTTTTTAAAGGATTCAGTATCAAACCCTGTTGCTCTGTATTGTATATATGAGGGCCAACGAGATCGCAAACTAATGGAACAGGGGGAACATATAGTCAGACTGTTGACCAGGCAAGAGTGAGATGGAAGAGCAGATGGTCTCAGCAGGTTTTGAAGGAAACACCTTTAACTGCTGAAAATAGCCAGCGCTTTGGAGACGGTGGGAAATTATGTGAGAGGGGGCTCCAACATGGGAGTGAGTGGAAAGGCGTTTTTATATTTAAAAAAAAAAAAGAAGAATATATATATATATATAAAATTGATTTTTTTTACGGAGAGGGATAGAGAGTTAGAAACATCAACCAGCTGTCTCCCGCACACCCCCCACTAGGGATGTGCCCGCAACCAAGGTACGTGCCCTTGACCGGAATCGAACCTGGGACCTTTCAGTCCGCAGGCCGACGCTCTATCCACTGAGCCAAACCAGCCAGAGCGGAAAGGCGTTTTTAAATAAAGAGGATAGCTATGAAGCTCAGTCACCAGAGTTCGCTGATTAGCAGAGAGCTTGGAAGAAGCTGTGCTCTAAGTAGCCAGGGATGGTTTGGAATCCTGAGAGTCATCTTCCCCTCACCCCCCGCCCCCTTTTCTGAGGGGATGCCACCCCAGTCCCCAGTGGACGCCTGATGGCGGATAGCACCAAACCCTGCCTATACTATGTTTTCCCCTATACATGCATGCTTCTGAGAAAGAAAGTTTAAGTTAGAAACTAGGCACAGTAGGAGATTAGCAATACAATAGAATAACCGTTCACAGGAAGTTGCAATGCAGGTGGTGTGAATGTGGTCTTTCTCTTTCTCAAAATGTCTTATTGTCCTGTCCTCGCCCTCCTTGTGATGGTGTGAGATGACACAGCCTCCGAGGTGCGATGGAGGGAGGTGGAATTTTCCATGTTCGTATTTTCAGACAGAGGTGGACAGAGAAGAGCTGAAACCGCTGAGAAGGAAACGGCAGATGAGGGAGGCGGCCGCACTTGACCTGCTTGTGTATTTGTTCTCTCCAGTAGTTTAGAGAGACCTGCAGGCTTGTGTTTACACTGTGCGCTGCCGGACAGCCCTGGCAGCTACATAAATAAAGAGCCGGCTGAGCAGTCTTCCTGAGACGGAACCTGGGAGTTCATGGGATTAGTGAGGAGCAAGCAATCTATGGACACTTCAACATGTGTCCCTTATTTCTGTGGGAATATTAAAAATGATTAGGTATCGCCAAAACCGGTTTGGCTCAATGGATAGAGCGTCGGCTTGGGGACTGAAAGGCCCCGGGTTCGATTCCGGTCAAGGGTACATCCCCAGTAGGGGGTGTGCAAGAGGCAACTGATCGATGACTCTCATCGATGTTTCTAACTCTCTATCTCTTTCCCTTCCTCTCTGTACAAAATCAATAAAATATTAAAAAAAAAATGATTAGGTATCAAGACATCTCACAGTGATTATTTTCAATGAGAAACCCATGCCTGTAAAATAAAACCTTAGTTCCTATGTTGATGTTTCTCAATCTGCTCTGGGGGCCTGGGTGGGCCTGAGGGTGAGGAAATGACGCTTTTTCAGAAAAGGGCTTCTCACGTTCGGGAAAGCGAGTTTCTGACTCTGCTGCCTTGCCCGCTCCCGCAGAGCCGGACTCACTGATGTATAGCTGGCAGTGCTTTGAGTGGCAAGCAGAATCGAAGCACCATGATGGGTTAACATCGAAGGTGCTAGATGTAAAAGCCAGCGGAGGGTGATGCTGAATGTTCGCTGCCAGATGGCACTTGCCTGTGATCTGGTTAAATTGTAGCTTCGCATTTTTATGTTGGACTAGAGGCTCGATGCTCGAATTCATGCAAGAATAGGCCTTCCTCCCCACCCCCCCCTCCGACTCCCGGCACCGACTTCCCTCTGGCACCGGGACCCGGGCTTCCCTCGCAGGTCCTCCCGAAGGAAGTCCAGTCTAATTAGCATGTTACGCTTTTATTGTTATAGATTTGACACTTGCCCGTTGCACTGATCCTCCTCCTGGCCATGGAGTGAGGCAGGGATTGCTCTGTGTCTGGTAGGCAAACGACGGGCACCGAGCGCTGTTCGGGGCCTTTCTCTGGGAAGCCCGAGCTGGGACTAGAACCCTCATCCTCTGTTGCTGTTGCCCCTGGGAGGCAGCAAACTTTCATTCTGGCCCCTCATTGCAATCCCTCCTTCCTGGTAATGATGGGCTAACCCTCTCTTCACTGGCATCGCCCAGGCCATACCCTCCCTCCTGGGCCTCCCTCCTGGGCCTTCCTCCTGCACCTCCCTCCTGGGCCCTCCCTTTTGGACCCTCCCTTCTGGGCCTCCCTCTTGGGCTTCCTGGCAGTCCCTTCTGGACCTTCCCTCCTGGACCCTCCCTCCTGAACCCTCCCTCCTGGACCCTCCCTTCTGGACCTTCCCTCCTGGACCCTCCCTCCTGGACCTTCCCTCCTGGACCCTCCCTCCTGGATCCTCCCTCCTGGGCACTCCCTCCTGGACCCTCTCTCCTGGACCTTCCCACCTGGACCCTCCCTCTGGGGCCCGCCCTCCTGGACCCTCCCTCGGGGCCCGCCCTCCTGAGCCTGCCCCCTCACTGATGGACTCAGAGCTGGGCTGCAGCAGGCCTTGGCCTTCTCATCCTTGGCTGCTGCTCACACCCACCAGCTCACTGACCTCCCTCCTTGAGCTCCAAATAGATCCGTTTCCAGCTCTTCCTGGCCGCACCACGCCCTCATTCTCCAAGTCACTTCACCCCCAACTGCCGCCCCTCCGTGTGTCATCGCAGGAAGCAGAAGCAGGGAGTCACCCTGGCGCCTCCCTTCCCAGCCTCTGCCCCGTCACCAGGCTCAGTTACATTACCGTCACCTCCTCTCTGCTCCCGTCCCTCCCACTGGACCTGCAGCCGTCTTCTGGCTTCAGTCCTCGGGCCATTCTGGACATACCTGTGGCTGCCGCCGCCACCACCCTACAGCCCTTCAGTGGCTCACGGGTGCCCTGGAGAGCCTGAGCTTGGCGTCCAGACCGTGGGCTTTGTTTTATCACCCGCCACCATCCTTTCCCTGCACCCTCCCCCCACCTGTGCTTCAGGGGGGCTTCGCCCGCTTCCTGGACATCCCCCTGCCTTTGCATGAGCTATTCCTGAGTCCCTGCTCACACGCCCCCCCTCACACCCCCATTTTCTAGACTAAGAACCTCAAAGCACAATGCAAGCTGAGCTATATTTCCGTTCATTTTGGTCCCCCAGCTCCGAGCACCGTTCCTGGCACACGGGCTTGATATGTTCAAATAAAGTCTATGCGAGTTATTTGATCTGTTTGAAGAAAGCAATATTTTGCGGCTCTTTTCCTTCCCATATCCCGGCCCCAAATTGCAATGCGCTGTTTTGAGGGGTCACTCAGAGACAGCAGTTACACGCTAACAGTGGGAGTGAGTTAACGTGGCTGTGTTTCCCCTCAGTCTTCGGTATCCGGGGGAGATTTTCCTTTGTAGCAGGACATCAATATCAGAAACACTTGTTTCTAATAGGGATCGAGAACACGAACAAATGGGGCAGAGATCAGAACCCAAGGCGGTTTCACACCAAATTAGGCAATGTTGATTTAAAACTGCTCAGCACAAGAGCACAGAGTGCATTCATGGAAAGTATCAGAACTGCGTTCTGCGTAGCGGGGTATTGTTGAGAGATCTGTCCATCGAAATTCCCTTAATCACAGAGAAAGATTATAAACTGTCTCTCTGCTTTTGTTTTCTTACACAGGATCAATTTGACAACTTAGAAAAACACACACAGTGGGGAATTGATATTCTTGAGAAATACATCAAATTTGTAAAGGAAAGAACAGAGATTGAACTCAGCTATGCCAAGCAACTCAGGTAAGTTGATATGGACAAAGGTTGTTCGTTCTTTTACTGCACAGTGGATCTGAGGGTAGTTAATATTTTTATTTTATAGTATGCATGTATATGCCTTTAAATCATTCTCTTCCCCAACAGTTCAATAGAAACAGTTGTTTTTAATATAAAAAAGCAATTTTCCTAAAACAGAAGGCAAAAACGAAATTATTGCTTTTAGGTTTTATTTATTTATTTACTTATTTATTCATTAATTTTTCTGTTAATCCTCTCCTGAGGATACTCTCTCCATTGATTTTTAAGAGCATGGAAGAGAGGGAGGGGAAGGGAGAAAGGGAGTGGGAGAGAGAGAAACATTGATGTGAGAGACAGACATTGATTGGTTGCCTCCCTCACACTCCCGACTGACCAGGGCTAGGGATCCAACCTGTAACCCAGGTACATGCCCTTGACTGGGAACCGAACCCCAAGAGCCTTTGGTGCGTAGGCTGATGTTCTAACCACTGAGCAACATCTGCCAGGGCCCTTTAAAAATATGTTTTTCTCTGAATTTTGAAGCAGCTGATTTTTTCAGAAAACTATTGAAGTAGAACTTCCATAGAGAGAGAAGGGCAGAAATCACAAGTCACTCCCACCCCCCTGAGGAGAAAGGACCGACCCCTTTCTGTTCGGCACCCTGCCCCCGAGGGTGGCCACTCTCCAGACGTCTGACAGCAGCAGGTTTTGTCCTGCCTATATTTTATAATTTTTATTGATTGATTTTGGGGAGGGGGAAGAGAAACATCGATTTGTTGTCCTACTTATTTTATGTATTCATTGGTTGATTCTCGTGTGTGTCCTGAAACTGGGGACCAAACCCAAACTGATGACCTAACCCAGGGGTCGGCAAACCTCGGCTTGTGAGCCACATGCGGCTCTTTGGCCCCTTGGGTGTGGCTCTCCCACAAAACACAAGTCTATGTTGAAGAAGTGGCGTTAGAAGAAGTTTAAGTTTAAAAAACTTGACTCTCCAAAGAAATTTCAATCGTTGTCCTGTTGATATTTGGCTCTGGTGACTACTGAGTTTGCCGACCACTGACTGAACCAATTGAGCTACCCGGCCAGGCTCGTCTTGCCTGTTTTTGAGCCTTACGTGAGCACCTTCACTTGTAGGCAGCGTTTGTATGTGGCTTCATTGGTCTCCGTTATGTTTGTGAGACTCAGTCTCGTTGTTGGATGTGGCAGTTTCAGTGTTTTGGTGGCATGAGTTCCGCAGTCCACCCAGCCTCCGCTTGCTCGCTCCCTCCCTGGGGTGAAGCACAGACCCAGGAGTGGAAGTGGGGTGGAAGGCTCTGATGTTTAGTGTGAGTAGATGGGCCCGATGATCTTCCAGAACTCTTTTCTGCTGGTGCGTGCTCCCCAACAGCGTGGAGGAGGCCCCAGGGTAACATTGGAAAAGCAATTTGGACCCCTTGCATCTTTAATGATGAAATTACCCAAGAAATGTATGCTTTTCTATTCGATATAAAATGCAGGAAAGTTTTGGTAGAACCAAGCTTGAACGTGAGGTGGCATGCAAAATCTTGAGTGACTCCTGGTTCGGTTGAGTTGGTTTGTGCTGATGGTCAAAGGTCTAGATGACTTGCTTTGGAAATATTTCTTTTTAATGCAAAGATCATCTTCTGAAGGGGCAAGTCACGTGTCACTGGAAGGCCGGCTTCTCGCAGGGCCGCTGGCGGTGCTGGGAATGAGCCCCTCGGCGGTACCCCGGGCATATTGCTGTGGTTGGCGGGTTTTGTTCCCGCGGAGGAGATCAAGTGGAAGGCGTTGCTCAGGGAAACCATTTTTATCATTTGTTGAATCAGATTGGTTTCCAGCGCCCTGAGCGCACCTCGGCCTCACTCGTACTTGGAGGCCTTTAGAGCCTCAGGGAGCTGCTCCAGTTTGGTCATTTGGATGTTGCCCTGTTGGTCATCAATGTTTTCTTTCACATGCAAATGGTACCTGCAGTTCTAGCCAAAGTGAGGCCTCACCGTCTGGATGTGTCTCTGTGATGTCTTCCTCCTTTTCCTCTTAGCTCCTCTGCTGGCGCCTGCGGCCCTCTCTCCTCCCGCTGTGGAGGGTTGTTACCGGGTGCCATCAGGGATGTCCTTAGGTTAGGTTGGTCCTCACATGGTTCTGCCTTGTTCTGTGTCAGAGGGGAGTGCTTTCTGAGTCCCCCCTTCCCAGGATGTACCCGCTCCCTCCCTATCACCCTCCCCAAGTTCCAGGATAGGCTTAGGGATCCCCCAGTCCCCCCTCTCCCCTCCCGTCTGTCCGTTTTCCACAAAGAGCAGATTGTGGCGTTCCTCTGTGCCAATCACCCCCCCCCCCCCCCCCCCCGTTTCACTCCAGGGAACCAGAATCCGCAGGGAGGACGTCCCGCCGAGCGCTGGGTGATCGTCCTGTACCCCGTACCCCTCTGACATCATCTCCTTCCTCTCTCTTCCTGCTGACCTCTGCCCTAACCACTCTGGCTCCTTGCTGTTTCCTGTGCATACCAGCTGCCTTCACCCAGGGGACTGCACTGGCCGTCCCATGGGGAGGTCCCCCCGTATGTCCTCCCCCAGGAGCCACGTGGCCAGCACCCCATCTCCTCCAGGTCTTTGTTCCATAGCACCCAAACTTCCTAGCATTCTACCCTGTTTCCCCGAAAATAAGACAGTGTCGTATATTAATTTTTTTTCCCCCAAAGTTGCGCTAGGTCTTATTTTCAGGGGATGTCTTATCTTTCCATGCACTAGGTCTTATTTTCAGGGGATGTCTTATTTTTCCATGCGCTAGGTCTTATTTTCGGAGGATGTCTTATTTTCGGGGAAACACGGTAGGTAACTTCATTTATTGTTTTTGGTGTTTGTTGCTCCCGCCCCTTCCCTGCTGCAATGTAAGCCCCACGTGCCCGGCCTCCGCGTGCTCGGTGAGCAGTTGGAGGAAGCGGGCCTCAGCAGGCACAGGTGTAAGAGGAGCTACTTGGTCGGCAGGGCTTCGGGAGAATTCTGTGAGAGCCAGTGAGGGTTTCCCCACAAACAGAACAACTAACCATGTGTCCCCAGGGTTCCAGGGGGACTCTACTGAGCGACACACAGGAAGTGCCTGAGCCTGAGGAGCTGGCCCTCTCACGCAGGAAAGGAGCTGCATGCAAATACACAAGGAAGTAAATGACAAAGATAGCATTTCCTCCCTAATAGGTGAGGCCAGTGGTGCATAGAGTGTAGCTGGCTGGCCCGGGAAAACCCACTGAGGCCGCAGGTGGAGGAGGGGCAGGTGGTGTGGGGAGAAGCTCTGCTCAGCCGTGGAAAGGCCCTGAGAGGGGACGTGGTCCAGGAACAGAGGCCAATGTGACTGGAGCACAGTCAACAGTCAACAAATACTGCTTCAACTCTAATGTGATGTTGAAAAATCCGCATGATCTTTCTTTTCAAATAGATTTTTATTGATTTTAGAGAGGAAGGGAGAGGGATAGAGAAATAGAAGCATCACTGATGAGAGAGAATCATTGACCGGCTGCCTCCTGCACGCCCCCCACTGGGGATCGAGCCTGCAACCCGGGCATGTGCCCTTGGCCAGAATCGAACCTGGGACCCTTCAGTCCACAGGCTGATGCTGTATCCACTGAGCCAAACGAGCTAGGGCGAACCGCATGATCTTTGGGGGAGACATTATCATTAAATAATTTTTTTTTTTCTGTGTTGGAGGAAAAACGGCCAGTTTAATTTAGACGTAGATGGTGATCGGGATCTTGGCTTCTGTAGGTCAGTGGCTGGCAAACCACACAGCGAAAGCCCACTGCCTGGTCTTAAAAATAAATAAAGTTTTATTGGCATACAGCCACATCCATTCATTTATGTATTGTCTATGGTTGCTTTTGCAAAAAAAAAAAAAAAAAAAGGTAGTTGAATAGTGTAACCAAGACCACGTGACCGTGACCTATTCGCAAGTCTAAAATATTTACTGATTGCCCTTTACCGAAAAAGCTTGTTGACCCAGCTAGCGTGATGAAGGGTCCAATTCCTAATAGAATTTAAAAACATCTGTATCCTGTGTAAGAGCACCAACTATTGATTGCCCTTAGCAACTGTTTCTCTTTACCAAAAAAAAAACCAAAACACACACACACACACAAACTAAGTTCTTTTGTTATGACCTGATAATGAATGCATATGATTAAAAATCTAGAAAGGTCAGAGGTACAGAATGGTGTTCAGGGAAGTGTCCCGTGTATTACCCCCTCCCCGGGACAGTAAATGCTATCAGTGTCTTATGTGTCCTTCCAGAGAGATATTACACACACATACACACACACACACACACACACACACGCATGCACGCACGCACAGCAACTCGGTGTGCCCTGGCCTTCCTGTGCCCGGGGGATTGTTCTGAGGCTCATTTTGATTTTTTGCAGCTTTCCAGGGTTGTGTTGGATTGGTGGATGTGTTGATTGTTTCCAGTTGTTTGCAACTCTGAACAAAGTTGCAATGAATAACCTTGAAGAATACACTTGGCCAAGCAAATCGAGAGGATAAATTCCTAAAAGCAATACATGGGTTGGTAGAATTTGCCAAGTGCCCCCCTCAGAGGCGTGACCATTAGCGCTATTCTCTTGGCCCTCGCTGCTTCCCGTCACCAGGGCCAGCTTGAAACGGAAAAATTGGGAAGTCTGAGCGTTCATTTGTGTTTCTCTTCGTATGAGTGTGGTCGAGCATGTTTTTATAGAGTTGAGCCATTTCTACTTTCTTCTTGATGAACCACTCATGTTCTGGTCAATGTTCGTTTGTTTTTTGTTGTTGTTTTTAAAATTTTTTTTTTTTTTTAGCTCATTGTAAATAAAGGGCAACTATGTAGAAACCATTTGATAAAGTGTTGCATCTTGTATACACAAGGTGTTACATTTAAATTTACTTTAACTGCAGAAAAGACACTAAAGTGAAACTGAAGGGTTTGCTGAACTTGATTAAACAGACTCACAAGATTTAGCAAGAAGATTATGGAAACTTGTCGAG